CCCCAGAGTGTGTATGTGAAGTTTTAACACAAATTACCTCACAGATAATTTTTTATAGCTTGTTAAAATGGCCACTTTTAGGGTATGAGCCAAAACGCACAGTATTTGTGTTTGTCCCTTTAAATGCAAATGAGCTGGTGCTCCTGGCCCCCTTTTCAGAAGAGAGCGGAGCTTCAAGAGCTCAAGCTCCAGCATACCAGCAACAACAAAACAGGACAATCTCACGCACTGAAAATGTCAGAAACTCTCAGTAGCGGTGTTCAGCCTTATGTGTCCGAACCGGAATCAGACAATGAAATATCACAAACTTTGTAAGTCCCACTTGTGATTATGAGCTCGACAAATTCAAGCGGTCGACTTCACATTGCTTTCATATGCAATTTTTAACTACCACATTCCCATTTACGATCATTCTGGTAGCACGTGAAGGCAGCATCAGTGAAAACAGGCAGAGACAATGGTAGCTTTAGTAACATTAGCCTTACAGAGTGCCAAGAAGCTCTTTCAGAAATGCAGTTTGTGAAACAAAATATGACGCGTGATAAATAGTCTGGAGCTGACGTTTGTGCATGAAGTGTTGGTATTGATCCCTCTTTCATAATCAACCTCTGCGATTATCCAGCGTTGAACTGACCCTCGTTTGTGAGGCAGTCTGGTGTGAAATGATCAGCACAAACATATAGGACTTTACCGGTTGTTTTCTGGGACATTTCATTCGAAAATGACATTTAACCACAGTGTCCTCAGCGGCTCAGATGGAGGGAGTCTATGGAGACTTCTATGTTCGTTGGTGCATCCCAAATCACAACACTTGTAATGCCTCTTTGGCGCTGACATTATATCTCCAGCAGCTGCAGCAAGCAAACAGTAATGGCGGGCTGCTGCTTCTCACTCAGGGCTGTGTCTGTGCTAATAGGCCAGAGATCAGCACAAATGGGTGGGTCCTTTTCCCTACGATGACGTCAATGTAGGAAGAAATCTGGAATCTCTTGTTCAGAGAGACTGTTTATGATTTATTAGGATTATAAAAAAATGAATGGGTGGATTTTTACAATTATAGGCTGGTTGTTTTCACACAACGTATAAAAGGGATCTTTGCATAATAGGTCCCCTTTAAAATTAGAGTCACCCACTGCATTTTAATCATGATCCAAACAAAGATTAATTAGATTGTATAATTTTGAAATTTTAAGCAAAAACAGAATGGTCTGACTTTAGTTTTGTTAAAATATGCTACATAAAGCCAGGCTCAAACTACAGGAATTATAGCCCGATTTAGCCCAGATTTTCCTCTCCTAAGACTCGATCGGTTTTTATTTTTACATTTACATTACATTTACATTTAGTCAATTAGCAGACGCTTTTATCCAAAGCGACTTACAAATGAGGACAATGGAAGCAATCAAAATCAACAAAAGAGCAATAATATGCAAGTGCTGTAACAAGTCTCAGTTAGCTTAACGCAGTACATGTAGCAAGGTTTTTTTTTAATTGTATAATAAACAGAGGCGGACAGTAGTGAAGTATTTTTACTTTACTCAAGTAAATTTAATAAGTATCTGTAGTTTATCAGAGTGTGTTTATCATACTTTTTACTGCACTACATTTCATTAAATCTTTGAATTACTTTTACTTGAGTAAACGTAAGAAAGTAATAGATTTCTAATTTTTACTTGAAAATTTTAATCAGTAATTAAACTTACATTTTCAGATTAATGTGTTGAGTAAATGCTGCAGATATTTTCAAACTGGAAATTATGGTTGCTTAATTGAATTTTTGTTAATATTTGATAGGTTAATAATTTATAGTAGACATGCCAGACAAAAGATGTATTTTCTATATTTTAAAACAAACTTTTGTACCTAATTTCCTTTAGCTGTCTTCAAAAATTGTAATTAATGTGTTTATTCATATCTGATCTTTGATGCTTTT